TATTCATAAATGAATTAATTACAGAATTATAATTGCGTGCCGATATGATTGTCAGATTTTCAACGCAATCAATTTGAAATATTAATAATCCTTCCAAATTTCCCAAATTTAATTTTAAAAAGCTGTAATAAACTTATTATGAAAAATATTATCTTGGCCGGGAATCGAACTCGGATCTCTTACATTCCGTGCGAGCGTCCTAAGTCTTTAGACTATCTAGAGACTATCAGTCTCTAGACTGATAATGATAATATGATAATTAATTAATTTGATAATTCTTCAAATGTTAAGGCAGAAATATGTTTTGTGCAAATAATAATTTACAAAGATTTAGTGATTTTCTTTTTATGTAATAAAAAATAATTATAATTAATTACATAATATTAAAAGCTTTATTTTAAATTATTAAATATGTTACGTTACAATATAAAAAAAAAACTATGTCTGAAATTTTTTTTAGATAATTGATAAAAATGTATACAATATTTTAAAATTTTTCTTTGCTATATTATTCTCCTTTGATTTTCTTTATCTTTTGAATTTCTTTCTGAGTCTTATTTGATATACTTTATGTACAAATTTGATGACACACGGTGAATTTTCAAATCCAAAAATTTGTGAAAATCTTAAATTAGAGGTATTCTGACAACACAGCAGATCATGTTGTTCATACTCTAATCAATCTGTTATAAAAATATAATGTTATTAAAATATTTCAAAAATACCATTTTTATTTCTAGCAAAGAGATAAAATATTTCCAAAATATTATTTCAATTTAAATGAGTAATAGTTATTCTTACTTAAATAAATTATTACACAGTTGTATTCTTAAGACATATATTATATTAAATTAAAAATTTTAACTAGGACAACGTCAACATTATTATATATGCCCTTATTTTTTCCCTTCTCAAAGTATATAAACTACAGATTGTACGTTTCACAAAATTTATACTCATCATATCGCAAACTGATCAAAATCTTGGGCAGACTGATGGCAAATCGAAGAGTTGCAAAAAGGTCGGGAGAGTTCTATCCGTTGTTTGCGAGCAACATGCTCTGCCGAGCGCCGAGTAATGCCGCAGGTCCTCAAATATACATGGATAGACTTCGTATCGGATTTCCCTGGCGAGCAGGAAAAGCGGCTCCGTCGGCGGCACTTCTCCTCGCACAAATAAGAAATTCTTTTGGCGACGCATCCCATACACATCCCGTTTGTCCCTGAAGCTGCGATGTGAGCTTGGCAAAAGACGGACTTCAAGGCATCGCGCTCTCTAGCACATGTCTCCGGCGAATCCGCGCGCAGATATAGAAATCTTCTGAATTGTAAATTATACAGAAATCGCCGCGAGGAAACCGTAACTCTCGTATAAAATATTCAGCATGAAAATGGGAAATGTCGCGATTGAATGATTTAATTCCTTCGACACGCTCAATTTCGCATATAGAAAGTAGTCTGGATTATGAGACGCTCGCCATAATCGTGTTTCCTATCTCCCTGCAAGAAAATTCAATAAATAAATTGTATCTTGGAACAATTCTTTAAATTCAACTTGCCATAAAATTTCAAAACTTTACATACCATATTAATCATTAGAATTAGAAAGAAAATTATATTATTTATATACTTTAAATTTCAGAAAAGAAAAAATGAATATCAAAATTAAGTCAAATCATAAAGAAAGCACATGCTAATATACTAGACATTGTTTTACTAAAAATTTAGTTTTAAATTTTATATTTGTTTAAATTTTATATTATGACAAAAAGTTAAAATATAATAAACAACATTAAATAAGATTTAAAATATAATGTATTTGATTGCTGTATTGTACTTAGGTATTGTACTTAGTGTGTTGTAAAATAATCTATTTAAGTTATCAGCTTTCAAAATAGTTTTTATATTATTTCTGAAACAATATTCCTAAGTACATACGTTTTTGTACATTAAAAAAAAATGTAAAAAAAAATCTTTTCCTGACTAATATTTAAATTCTTATGTATAATTTAGTTTTTTATTTATGTTAACAATTAATTCTTTTTATTAATGTAAATTATATTTAATGAAAATAAGAAATATTAAGAAATATTATATTTATTGAAACAAATTATAAATTAATGATCAAAGATTATTCTTAATCGCATATTCTGCTTTAACATTTTAATTGTTTATAAAGTAATAGAATTTATTTTATAAAGCGTATAAAATTTTATTTTGAAAAAAATAAAAATAATGCAATGATATAAATGCATTAACTTTTGATTATTTCTAATTTTATGCAAGTAATAAAAATTCACATTTATTCACATTTATTTCACCTAAATAGTAAATTACTCCTTTCGTCAAAGATATTTTTCAATTGCTGACAAATTCAGCGTTTATGTATTTAAGTATCATTTCTTTCCAATTCCAGAAATTGATGAATTCTGTTGAGAGATACAGGAAATAAACTTAAATCATTAACTTTACAGGACTCTACAGAGATAAAGCGGGACGTTTAGCGGTCATCGATAATACCATCGCGGAGACGTCGTGTATCTCTTAACTCTATAGAAATGATTTGCCATCTTCTCGTCGGTCTTTTCCCTCAGCAACCCCGTGAATCTATCCTTTCTCAGATTTCTTTCCTTTCCTTGCACTCGCCTCGTCTCTGTCCGGTTGCCAAGTTCCTACGAGACTTCGGAAACCTTGCCGTTCACAAATCCCTTTCCTTGCCCCGACGGAGCAAGAAATGCAACTCTCCTTGGGGAATTAATTGCGCTGTAAAACGTAGATTCAAATCCGCGTTTCAAAGAAGAGAAGAGGCGAGACGGGAAAGAAAGATAGAGACACCGTTTTCCTTCTCTTCCATCGTCCGAAAGATTTTCCCAAGATGGTTCTCTCATCTCGGCTGCAATCAGTGTCGTAAATTGCTTGCAATCGGTCCTGCAATTAATTCCAGCTCATCCTCGAGGATTTATTATTCTCAATAATACCATAATATTCTTGGTGACCAGACAGTTTCTCGTTTTGGCTGCCGTGTTTTCGTTTCGTCAAAGACAATCTTTTATTTCTTTTTATATCTGGGATAAATTAAATGTTATTTTTGTTGGAAATTCTTTTTTTTTCATGGTATCGTTCGAAACTATGACAATCTAACGTCTGATATTGTAATAAATACGAAAAAGTGAAACAGAAAATATAGATCTATTATTTATCAATGAATTTTCTGAACTGGTACACACGATATAAGTTAAGTAAAAAAAGAACTTTATTCTTTTTACTTCAAGTTATTGTATCATGTGCAGTTCAAAGAATTCTTCGATAAAGAACAGGCCAAATATCGATCGAATTGATCAAATGTGATAGATAACTTACATCTAAAGGCGTAAACCATAAAATTTCTTTTCCTCTTTTACCTTAACTTTTTTTTTATCTTTCGAACGAGCGACCATCAATTGAAACTGTGATAACTTAAGTTTCTACTTAAATTAATATCTTTTAATATACATGTATACACACATAACTATTTTATTTATAATGATTTAGAAGACTCAGAAAATATTATGAATAACAATTACACTCTTTGTAAAATACTTATATCTTTATGTTGAGTCAAGAAATAATTTATTATTATATAGAATTTATCATTATCCTACAATTATTTTACCTTATCAATTACATTTGTATTTTTGCATTTAGAAGTTAATAAAATAATGTTTTTGTTGTATATCTGAAATTGAAAAATGTTTGTACAGTTTCCAAATATATTTATTAGATTTTTAAGAATTTTTATTACATGTTTTATAATAAATTTATAATAATTGTCAAGGAACAAATTCTAATGAATTTTTCATATTTTTGAAAATTTCAGTAACACAATATTAAATTTTTTAATCAAACGTTTAGACAATTGATAATCTGACATAATTTCATCATATGTTACATAAATTCATTTGTTCAATTACAATAATATTTATTCAAAACAATATGTACACATAATTATGGCAT